TTCAATCCTGTAGACCGACAATGTAAATGTTTATTGCTCCGTTGAGATCGATGCATTTTTAAGACGTTTTATTGGAGTATCCAGAATGACCAGGCAACAGAAGAGGATTTTACTAGCAAAATGTCCGCCATTTTTGACACAATGAAAATTTCTGAGAATAGAAACGATGTCAATCGCAAAAGTTGATTCATAGCGGCGATTAGAATTGGACCTATATAGTGGAATGTAATATTTCATTTGATGTATCAGAAATCAGAAACGTATCTATTGCTGCTGGTATGAACTATTAATTAAGTAAAGTATTTCACCATATCTACACTAATCGGACAAACCATTAAATCGGTATTGCTGTTTTATTCTTTTCGTTTTCGCTGAACCGGAAAAAACAGTTTTCGATCTCACAATAAATTGGAAAATTTGGCATATGATATGTATTTAGAAAAGCTCTATCTTTCCAACTATTGTGCATCAAACACAACTATATATTCTAAGTGCACGATATTTCTGTCAAAAGAGGACAGGTTCAGCTGTGTAAAGAATCTCGAACCACTTACTTTTTCTGATACAATGGTAGTCCTTTGGCACATTTGCAAAGTTTGATACTAGACAATATAATAGTTATATCACTGAAACCAGCAATAATCCAACAGCATTATCATTGTCTTCTTCAATGAACGATCAGAATTTACCCATAACAGGCATTTGTCTAGTATCAAACTCTGCAAATGTGCCAACGGACTACCAATGTATCAGAAAAAGTAAGTGATTCGAGATTCTCTACACAGCTGAGCCTGTCCTCTTTTGACAGAAATATCGTGCACTTAGAATTCTACTAAAAGTAACATCTTGGTCTCAACGTTTTCTTTATTTAGCATATGACGATCAACAACGAGATGCTAACTTAATGGCAGATTCATTCGGACGAAAAGATCGTCTTTTATGTATAACACGTAACTTTCCGTTAGGTGACAATGTCGCTCTAGTGTTAGAACATATTGAATTATATAAGGTCGTTAAAAGGTATGAACATTATTTATGGTAAGTGCATGATCAAAACAACCACAATCTGAACGCTCATACTACGACTTTACTTTAGCCCACCTAATTATCAAAGCTTCTCTTATACCGTTGATACCCGAGAAAAAGGCACAACAGAACACGTGATAGTTGTTAAAATGGCTGCGCGTCAAGCTGGAATGAAATCCATCAATGACATTACTTTTCTTTATCGTACAAGACGTCCACAACAATCGTATACAATGATTGGCGAAATAAATGGATTAATAGTGTGTATTAAAGAAGATACCGTGCCACCGATGCGTTTGAGTAATCCGGTATATGATGAAAAGATGAGCAAATTGTTACCTTCCGAAAAGCAGCTACAAGATAAAGAACTAGAAACTGGAAATAGTCGTATGTTGTTATGTTTACTTTTACAGAACGTGTATTCCGACCTAGTTTTTGAATCTCGAAAGAGAAACATTTGGATATTTTAGTGGGTATCAATTTTTTTGGTCATTAAAAACGGATACTTTTGCACCAACATCGAAAGAAGTAGTTCAAGCAGTTGAAGAAGCACTGAAAATAAACACAACATTAAGAAGTCTTCTTATTGATACGGTCAGCGATATTCAACAGGAGGTCGAATGAACAGTGAAGACATTTCTTTTTGACGAAGACAAGATGTTGAAATATTCATAGAAAGATGAAAATGTGATTGAAATGTAGTAAAGCGGACTCTGATCGCTTGATTTAATATATCCTTTTGTTGAATATTAAGACTTTCTATTGTATTATTATGTCTTATTTGCTGGA